CGGGGTCTGCCCAGCCCGGCTGCAGGTGAATCTCGGGGGCGGGGGGAGGGGAGTGCTGGGGAAGAAGGGGGGTAGCAACCACTGTCTGGGAGCCCAGGGGCTGCAAGTTAACCCCTCCAGGACTGCAAGTACTCGGGGCCAGCAGCGGAATAAGCCCCCTCTTGCCAGGAGGGGCTTGCCCCAACACAGAATGAGCAGCTGGGGCTGGGCCTCACCCCTGCCCCTGCCCAGCAGCTGCAGCAGCGAGTGGTGAGTGAGGTGATGGGCAGCAGCCCATCATGGCTTCCCAGAGCATGAGACCCTTCCCGGCGGGGGGCTGTGCTGTGGGGCCAGCAGAGCTGCTGTGAAGCGTGGCAGTGCTGCGGGGGCACAGCTAGGCAGGGCCCCTGGAGGGGCGGCGAGCACGGACGGGGATTATTCTTTCTCCCTCTGGCCTCCAGCGAGGGGACAGCCGGGGGCTATTCCAGGCAGGGAGCACATGCTGCTGTGACAGTGGGCAGACCTGGCTGCCAGCAGGGATACAGGGGAAACTAACTCTCTTCCATGCCCCACTCTGCCTCAGGGGCCACGGTGCCTGGTGCTGCAGCAGCAAGGGGGGAGCACCAAGCAGACCTAGCTAGCTCCGGTCCCTGCCAGCAGCACAGGGAGGGGGAAATTAAAACCCTCTCTGGCCAGTTCAGCCCGGGGTGGCCACACCCCAGCACAGCTTCCCTGCAGCTGAGGGTGTGCTCTAGCACCCTCCCCCCCCCCCACACCTGGCCTGAGCAACTGCAGCCATGTGCCTGCATTGCCTTAGTCCAGAGCGAATGTTTGTCCTGTTACAAACTGGTTCAGTTTAGGCAGGTCAGACTAACCTGCAAAGGTTGAATCAATTCATGGTCTGGCTTTTTGAATGTATGTCCCTAGCCCATATGGCACCTCGTTGGACTGGCCCTGTGCTCTGGCATGCATGGATGGCCTGGGGCTGATCTGGATGGGCCATCATGCAGGGCTGGTCCAGCAGCGTGTCCCAGCAGCCTATGCCCCAGGCCAGCCCCCTGTGCTGTATGCAACTAGCTCTGGGTTCAGCTCATACCCCACATGCAGAGTGAGCTTCATGTGGGCTGGACACTGACATTTGTGCTGCATTTTGATATGTGGTCTTGACCAGGGGCAGGCAATTATTTCAGGTGGAGGGCCACTCACTGAGTTTTGGCAAGCCATCAAGGGCCACTTGACAGGCAGCCAGGGGCAGATATATATTAATTTTCTACATTTTTTTAGGGTCCCTGTGGGCCGGATAGAATGGCCTGGCATTTTGCCCACCCCTGGTCTTGACATTTTGTATGTTGTGGGTCAGATTTCAAAAGATTTACTTCACTCAGAGCAGATTGTTTAAACTTGAAGAAACTGGTTTATTTATCATCTTTATATTGAGCAGAGGATTTTCCTCTCTTTGTGGAAATCATAACAGTATACCAGTTCCCAGTAGTGTAAAGCTAGGACCTTGTCACTGGAAAAAAGACTTCTTCCCTGTGCTATTTATCAGATGGTTTGTCATTAAGAGGATGAAAAAGATAATTTACTTAATGACACAAAAGAGCCCTTTCTGTTATCGGCAAGGTTGTGCATGGTGCACAGTGTTTCTTAGCCTCTTCTGTAAAACAGTTCCTTCTTACATAGGGAAAAAAACCATCTTCAGTAAATGTATTTGCATTTTTGTAGTATGATTTTTACCACCAGATTCAGTTTCATGGTTTTACTATTTCTGCGTGTACCTTCTCAGTCTGACATCTCAGAACAGACTACTGTTGTTTCACTTATGACGATTGTATGATTTATCTATTAGAACACAATTGCTTTGGTTCTGATCTTGCTATATTTATAATGTACTGAGCAGTTCACCTTCAGTTAGTACTGAAAAAGTTCACAATGCTGATCTTAGACTAGTGGGAAAGTGTCTGGATGCTGAGAAGTCATGCCTTATCAGGCTCACAGTCAAAGGATGGTGATTGGCAACATCAGACTATTGCTGCTTTTGATTTAATCTTTTATTTTTCTAAGTGAAGACCAACTGAATTGAAAAACTCATTGACCCTCATGGGCCATGCCCTTAATACTTGCATTTTAAGCTGCAATAGTTTTGGTATGGCTTTGTCATCACAGGTGACAGGATAGTTAGGAGGAGTAACGCACACTCCTTTGACACTAATATAGATTTTTTTTTTCATTCTGTTGCTTCATTAGCTGAATATGTAAGTGTGATACAAGCTGCATTTGGCTCTCTTCCTAACTCAGCTGAGGTTGTCCAGTTGGACCACATCATACTTACTAACTCTTCATTACTCCTTCAGGAAGAGGAAGTCCTAAAATAAATTCCATGCTTGTATAGTCCTTAGCTGTGTTCTCCTTGCTAAGCCATGAAACTGACTTGTCTTAATCTGCTTTCTTGACGAACCGGATGACAGCATAGTTATTATTCATCCATATTCATGGACTTGTTTAAACCAGGGATTTCATACTCATCCAGCCCCATGGGCCAGGTGAGTGGCATGGGGCCAGTCCACAGGCTGGATCAGGCCACTGATCCCCTCCGGCACCCTCTCTCCTAGCACACCTGTTCGGGGAGCAGCTCCAACAGGTCTAGGGCCCGCACTGTTTGTAAAATATATGGCACAGTTCTGCCAGAGTGGCAGCTGTGTTGCATGTGGTAGCAGCTGTGGCTGGACTATGCTGCATGCTGCATCCACCCCAGCAGTTCCGGGACCTACGCTGTATGTGGCACCTATGAGCCAGACGGAGTGGGCACTGTGTGCGGCAGCACCCCAAAACAGGTGCTACATCCGGCGTGGTCTGGCTGGGATGGCCACCACCATGAAGTCCAGCTGGACTATGTTCTATGCAGCAGCTGTTCTGACCACTTAGAGATCTACACTGTATGCAGTGTGGGTCCTAGACTGGCTGGAGCAGCTGCTGGATCAGGTATGGGAAGGGAGAGGGGGAAGGAGTCTGTGGGCCAGATCCAGCCCTGTGCCATGGATGCATGCTATGCCCTGTGTGGGTCTGATCATACCCAGGGCACCAGGAGGGGCTAGATAGTGGGGCTCCATGGGCAACTATATGTTTGAAACCCCTGGTTTAATCAGACGTTTCTTAGATGGATAGGTTTTTCTGGTCTTCAAGTGTTTCACCAATATCTAGGCTTAAACAAACTATCCAGCCCTTCACTTACAAGATAATTTAATTTTTTTTGTTAATAATAAATATATTAACATTTAATTGGGGTTACGGTTGATTTAAACATACTGGGATTAAATATATTTTTAAATATACATGATGTGGCAGTTGAGAAGAGTGCATGGGCTAGTGGTTTACAGCTGGGTCATTTGTGTGTTTTTTTCCAACCCCTCTCTCATGCTGTCTCTCAAAGTGTAAAATTAGCTTAATATCAACAAGCAGTTTCATTTGCTCATGGGTTTATCAATAAACAGATTTCTGTTCTGGGACAGGAATTTGCCAGATTTCATTGTGTGGCACTTAGGCTAGGGACAGACATTCAAAAAGCCTGAGCCTGAATTGATTTAATCTTTGTACTTCAGTCTAACCTGGCTAGGACAAACCGGTTTGTAAACTAACAGACATCCCCACTGGACTGAAGAAGTTCAGGCACTTGCCTGCTGTGACTTAGGATAGAAGTCAGGGGGTGCTAGAGAAGCCCTCCCTTCCCTTCCATAGTGTTGAGCTGAGGGGGGACATGGCCAGGCCCTGGGAGGATGCTCTGATTAGGAAGGGTTCACCCCCTATGCCCCCGCTGTTGATAACAGAGCATTGAGTTACACTTCAGGGAGTTACGCAGGGAGTTGTTAGAATTTATCAGGACATCAAACAAAACAAAAGCCTCTCTGATTAGTTCAAGCTCTTCTTAAACAACTTTTTCCAAGGAAGGGACAGAGGGACATTACCAGCTACCTGTGTTTAGCTTCAAAAAAGCCCTGAGTGGACACTGTCCTGCCTGCCTTTGTCCTGTTTCCCATGGCACGGACCGTAGCTAGCATGCAGTATGCTAGCTAATGCTAGAGGTGTCTATATAAGGCAGAGGGGAGGGGGGAATCCCTGCTTGAACAGGAAGTGGTGGTGGGGGGTAGGGTGAATCCAGGCAGATGCTGCTGTACCTGCAGTCACTGTTAGAGCTCCAGCCAGGGAGCAGAGGGGCGGGGCCAGCCCTGCTGTGGAGCAGAGGCCTGCCCAGGGTTACCAAGCATCTGGGATACTGGGGGACTGTGGTTTAACTTAAGCCAGGAAAGGATCTGAGACAGACGCTGCATAAACCGGTTTGACCCAAATCAGTTAAGTCTGATACTACATTCAACCAGGATTATCTTAAACTGTTTTCAGCCATTTTTAAACTGGTTTATGTGCACTAAACATCTGTTCTGTTACAGGTTTAAACCAGTTTCTGATCACTTAAACTGGTTTGTGTGTAATGTCTGCCCCTAGCCTTACAGACCTCAGATTTTTTTTTAAAATAAGGTTATAGAATTGCCTAAGTAATAATTTAAAAAAAGAAAACATATACAAGCAACTCTTATTTGATGTTTTTCAAACATGTTTGTAATACTTGCTTTTTACTATCCTGTTCTGAGCAAATGGCAGTTCTACTGTTGGAACAGAATTTAATAATGGTGTCTGTTTCATATTTCTATTTGCCATTCAATGTTGTCAAAATATAGAAGGCAGAGGGAACTATTCTTGGCTAACAGACATTTCAGTACAGGCCTCAAAAGTAGCAGGAAGACATGGAATAGTTGTCAAATTCTCTGAACAGCTTGACTACCAAACTTTCAAAGATAGATGAGTGAGTAAGGGAGGTTACATTGCCTGATCCAGAACTGTGACACAATGGCTGTGATTTGCCTGGATATAATACCATGCCATGTAATTATTTGGATAAAGTTATTTGTACAAATGCCATTTTATAAAAATGAGTTGTACTGACTTACCTTTTCATTTAAATATCATAGGCAGAAGATGAGGATGAAGATGATGTTGGTGATGATCTTGAATCACATGGAGAAAAGAAAGAAGAACTGGGAAGCTACTCAAGAAGAAAAATAGTCTCCAACTGGAACCGCTATGAAGATGCTAAGAAAGAGGCACAGAATGAAAGTGGAGAATCTCAGAGAGGATCAGACTTCAGTGTTCTGCTTAGCTCAGCAGGTAAGGATGTATTTTACAGCATAGTTCTTGCTCTGATCGTGGGTGCTAAAAGTGGACCTTGAAATGATCTAATTACTAAATTCAGAATTAGCCTAACCAAGTGCAAATTCATTGTTGTTGTCTACTCCTGCTTGGTAGTGCATTGCTGATTCTAAAGATGTTGCCATATTTGCTAAACCAAAACAAACAAAACTGTATGGTTCTGACCACTTGTATTTGTTAGCATTATCTTGTGGTAATTTTGTTTCTGTTGTTGGTAAAATCTGTCAGTGGTTGAAATGAAAATGTTTTGTCCTTGAAGTCTTTAATACTGTCTTCCTGTTTCACATGTCTATATGACTTCTGTTGGCATTTTTTCTTTAGTTTTTTTGACAAGAAAGAATAATGGAGCATTTGCTTTCACAGGAGAAAAAATATTCTCAGAGAGATGCAAAATGGGGAAAAAAGAGGCCACACTTTGGGCCTGCCCTAGCCTTATCAATCTAACTGTATACTGAAGTGCTTAGGAAAAATGCCAGAGGCCTACTTCAGCTAGTTTTTAAATTAGAGTAACACATTGACATAATTAATGAATAGGATTGCTTTCTTATCACAGTACCTTTTTTATTATCAAACTAATTGAACACGGTTGAAAATTACAATTTCAGTGTGCCTGGAGAATTACAAAACATTGGGATTTACAGAATTGTGTAGGGGTTCATTAATTGCCTTTTATATTTGTGTTCATAAAGACTAAGAGACTGACAACAGTAGAAAGTTGCTTGATTTTGTTTATTCTCTACATATTTAAAACAGTCTGCTGCAGCTTTTGGTTACTTACCATTCTGTTTAGGCCTAGGGACTACCTTAAAATTTTTCTAACTTAGTTTTAACTAGCTTAGTCTGATATCCTGTACCTTTTTCTACCCTGATTTTCTTTGTGTCTGCTGTGTTATCAGCAAATATATATATATTTATCTTTAGTATGCTATGAAGAATTTTCATTCTATATATTTTTTCCATTCTTATTTAGCCAAACAAACAGTGCCTCTGTAGCCTGGGACAAATATTGGGCTCACTGATTTTGTATTAAAGTCAGGAAAAAGCTCACCAAACCCTATAATTATTTTCATTAGTCACAGAAGTATAAAAGAATTATTATTTGACCCCAATGTGTTCTTTTCTGTGAATGCGTACTAAGAATTATTCCTGATTTAAATGCAGAATAGGCTTTTAATCCATATCATGCTTACAGTATTTTTTTTTTTTGTATTTTAATTTAGCAGAGCTAGGATAGCTCTTATCATTTTCTCTTGCATTTCAGCTGACTTACTGAGGTAGGACCTATACTGTAGTATAAAATATGGAAAAATTACCAGAGTGACTCAGATAAAATTAAGTGCCTGTAGATCGCAGAAACTATTTAATATTGTGGTATTCTTATAGTGTGTTTACCAGTATCTGCCATATGGCAATAAATGTTTCTTCCTATTATGCAGATAAATGCTGATCTATGTCTTACTCTTTTCTTTGCTGACTCCTTATTTATTCTCATTGGTTTAGGACTATGGTGTAGTTTGTTTGCCCTGCAGTAACTCATTTTTTACAACTTGAAGCACAGAGGGAGTGAGGACTGATTAGAAACCTTTTCATATTAAAGCATGCTGCCACGGCCCATGCAATCCCACTGGTCATGCTGGAGGGATGTCTTTACATCTCAAATTTGCAAGGTAATCAGCTAGAGTTTAGTGCTATTCAATGGTACCTGTTCTTAGATATAACTCTAATTTGGTTGGGAGTTGACCTGTACTCTGAACACCAGCTGACCATATGACCTGTTTTGCTAATGTGTAGATTTTAGCTTTTGGAGTCTGTAGGGGCAAAGGAGCTGAGAAACAGTTTGTTTGCTTGCTTCACCGTGTGTGCCCTCATTTTATCAGATGTGAGGATGTGTATAGCATAGGTGCAGCCCCAGTGGGCATTGCTGACCTGAAACATGCACAGGGTCCATAGAATGGAATTCATATAAACAACTCATCTCAAAGAACCACATTTAATATAAGTATTCATTTCTTTTTAATCTATCTGTCCTCAGCTTACAGAGAGCACTTTGAGAGTATGAGGTAGTGAGTATGTTAATATGGATTTCAGCCAATTTTAGTATAGCAAATGTTTTGTGGCATTATTAACAGTTTAATTACCCAATAATGGGGAGATAGTTAGCTGTGTTAGTCCATTCAGAGGATCTGACAAAGTAGTATCTGCAAAGTATCTACAAAAGTTCATGCCTCTTTAAATGAATTAGGGCAGGGCAGCACCTTAGGGCACTTTTACATGTGCTCCAGAGTCGGGGGTGGGAGGGGCGTTTTAATTAGCGTGTCTCTCTGGAGCTGCTCTGTGTAAAACATCCACAGCATCTTGTGTATTCAGTGTCCCGTGTCATAATGGAGGCAGGGCCGCTTTAACTAAAGCTCATTCAACAAGCTTTAGGTAAAGCGCCCCTGCTGCCATTTTGAAATGTGGGGCACTGAATACACAAGATGCTGCAGTGTGATTACAATGCACCAGCAGCTCCAGCAGACTTGATTCATCTAATCAAATTAATCAATTTGATCAGGTTTGATTAATCTAACCTGACTGCGTCGGAGTGCCCTTAGAGACTACCTTCCATCAGATTATTTTTCTTATGATTCTTTGTTTAAATTAGAACTTTGGTCCTTTGTGTGAAAAGAATTTTCTTTCTTTGAAGCTTAGTGAAGATATGCTATAAAGTTAGGAGTCTTATGTTTAACAGAAGTGCAACTTTGAAAAAAATCTAATCATTTTAAGTAGTACAGGGTAGCTTTGAGCACATGGAAGTAAAATCATAGTTAAGTTTTAACCTCAGCAGAGCTTTCTCTAATACCGTATTTTTCTCTTGTATATCACACCTTCAAATAAGATGCACACCTTATTTTTGAAAGGCAGAATGAAGAAAAAAAGATCTTTCACTGAAAATGCTGGTAAATATGGTATTTTTCCAGGGAGAACACAGGCAGCTGCAGTAGTGGGGAGCAATTGTGGCTGCTCTGTTAACCTCCTAGCTTTAGGACACATCAGGTGCTGCTGGCTTGATCAAACTGCCTGATCCCTCTTTTCTTCTCAAGTTGAGCTGGGTAGGCCAGCAGTGCCTGATCTTAGCCAGTAACACCTGTGGGGTTAGCTGAGGGCCAACT